TCGTACACCGCACACGCGGCTCGCACTCCGCATCGTACCCCGCACGCGCGGCTCGTACCTGGATGGACAGCTGGGTGTCTTTGATGAGGCATCTCCTGGTGGGGGAGAAGGTCAGGGAGGCCTTGGCTTGTTGATGAAAGACGAATATCAATCCGTGAGGGGGAGGGGCGGCACTGAGGTCATACACAACAACCGGAGGTACTCCCATTGGCTTGAAGCTTGTCCTCACCTGTCCCAGGTCAATGTGATTGGGCTGCTGGGTGGACAGGGTGGTGACTGTCCTGGTGGTGTCCTGGCACGTGATGCAGACTTCGGTGGCGTGGCCGTCGGCCTTCACGTTCAGGTATAGAGGCTCCGTCTTGGTGATGATGTCACAGATTAGGTTGAAGTTGACCTCCCCGACCTGCGATGGCCGGAACTGGATGTCGATGGGAACCCTGAGAGCGCAGAGAGGGGGTCAGTGTCACAGGGAGGCCCACCAGGGAGGGGGAGGAAGGGTGGCCCCCTCAGGTGTTACACCAGGGAGGGGGGAGGAAGGGTGGCCCCCTCAGGAGCTACACCAGGGAGGGGGGAGGAAGGGTGGCCTCCTCAGGTGCTACACCAGGGAGGGGGAGGAAGGGTGGCCCCCTCAGGAGCTACACCAGGGAGGGGGGAGGAAGGGTGGCCTCCTCAGGTGCTACACCAGGGAGGGGGAGGAAGGGTGGCCCCCTCAGGAGCTACACCAGGGAGGGGGGAGGAAGGGTGGCCTCCTCAGGTGCTACACCAGGGAGGGGGAGGAAGGGTGGCCCCCTCAGGAGCTACACCAGGGAGGGGGGAGGAAGGGTGGCCTCCTCAGGTGCTACACCAGGGAGGGGGAGGAAGGGTGGCCCCCTCAGGAGCTACACCAGGGAGGGGGGAGGAAGGGTGGCCTCCTCAGGTGCTACACCAGGGAGGGGGAGGAAGGGTGGCCCCCTCAGGAGCTACACCAGGGAGGGGGGAGGAAGGGTGGCCTCCTCAGGTGCTACACCAGGGAGGGGGAGGAAGGGTGGCCCCCTCAGGAGCTACACCAGGGAGGGGGGAGGAAGGGTGGCCTCCTCAGGTGCTACACCAGGGAGGGGGAGGAAGGGTGGCCCCCTCAGGAGCTACACCAGGGAGGGGGGAGGAAGGGTGGCCTCCTCAGGTGCTACACCAGGGAGGGGGAGGAAGGGTGGCCCCCTCAGGAGCTACACCAGGGAGGGGGGAGGAAGGGTGGCCTCCTCAGGTGCTACACCAGGGAGGGGGAGGAAGGGTGGCCCCCTCAGGAGCTACACCAGGGAGGGGGGAGGAAGGGTGGCCTCCTCAGGTGCTACACCAGGGAGGGGGAGGAAGGGTGGCCCCCTCAGGAGCTACACCAGGGAGGGGGGAGGAAGGGTGGCCTCCTCAGGTGCTACACCAGGGAGGGGGAGGAAGGGTGGCCCCCTCAGGAGCTACACCAGGGAGGGGGGAGGAAGGGTGGCCTCCTCAGGTGCTACACCAGGGAGGGGGAGGAAGGGTGGCCCCCTCAGGAGCTACACCAGGGAGGGGGGAGGAAGGGTGGCCTCCTCAGGTGCTACACCAGGGAGGGGGAGGAAGGGTGGCCCCCTCAGGAGCTACACCAGGGAGGGGGGAGGAAGGGTGGCCTCCTCAGGTGCTACACCAGGGAGGGGGAGGAAGGGTGGCCCCCTCAGGAGCTACACCAGGGAGGGGGGAGGAAGGGTGGCCTCCTCAGGTGCTACACCAGGGAGGGGGAGGAAGGGTGGCCCCCTCAGGAGCTACACCAGGGAGGGGGGAGGAAGGGTGGCCTCCTCAGGTGCTACACCAGGGAGGGGGAGGAAGGGTGGCCCCCTCAGGAGCTACACCAGGGAGGGGGGAGGAAGGGTGGCCTCCTCAGGTGCTACACCAGGGAGGGGAGAGGAAGGGTGGCCCCCTCAGGTGTTACAATGCCAAACTCCGCCCCTCCAGCTGTGGGGTGAAACTACAAATCCCATGATGCATCTCTCTCCAGGAGTCGTGGCTGTGAAAATCTTGCAAAGCCCCATGGGATTCGTAGTTCCACCCACAGCTGGAGGGGCGGAGTTTGGCCATTCCTGGCCTAGGCCCTTAGCAACTGCATATGGGGCCCATAATAAGGGTGGGGGGCAGGTATGCAGAAAGCGGGGGCCTCCATTTCAGGGAGGTGCAGAGGAGCATGGCAAGCCGCCCGGGGGAATGGTAATGCAATGGCGGGGTCCGTGGTGGGCCG